CAAACCAAAGGGGCATAAGTCGAGCAATTATTCGAGGAAATATAAACTTTATTTTTAAGGCTTGAAAATGGTATCAATTTGTAGATATGATACCTGCCAAGGTGGCTATGCCCTTCTGCTCCCAATTTTTGAAGATAACCTCCAGTAGGAGGACATGAAAGGCGTCTAACGGTATTGGTATCCTTAGTGGGTCTTGGGGTTGTACTACCGGTAATAAGAAAATATTTCCAGGCCTTTAGTGTAGCTGCTATAGTTAGATGTTTATATAGGGATTTATGCAAGAAAAGAGGGGGAATCGTTGCCAGAAATTTCAGATTACTAAGTGGTACAAATGATTGTTCTTTCTGAGTTTTCTTTAAAGGGTGAAGAGCAGAACCATATTTTCATTTGATCTAATAGTGCTGCTGCCTGGTAATCTTTAAGAGTTGGAACTCCTATTCCCCCTGTCTTCTTGTGTTTCATTAAAATATTGTAGGAGCATGTGGGTCTTTTGTTTTGCCAAAGGAATTTTGACAGGATAGATTGCATAGTTTGAAAAAAGGAACCAGGGATACAACTTGGTAATGCTCTAAAGAAGTAAAGAATAAGTGGGAGAGGATCGATTTCTAAGCGGCTAATCTGCCCATCCAGGAGAGAAAAAAATCTATTCAACATTTTTGTTTCGTTTTGTATTTATTGGTAAATGGTTATTTGGGGTGAAAAAATAGTCTTCTAAAGAGCAGAGGTAGTAGAAGTTAAAGCGGAGCTCCATCCAAAAGGGAAACTTCACTTTAATGTGTTGTCCCTCACTCCCCATTAAGGATTGGCAGCTTTGGGGAGCGGGGGGGGGGGTACCCAAATTTGACAGGTACCCACCCCCACTTCTGCTGCGATCGCCTTGGCGATCGGAGGCGTAAGTTTCCTCTCTCCTCTTTCCCATGTAGTCTTCCCAGAAGACTACGTGGCCATTCACAAAGCGCAAAGCTTCTCACGCATGTCCAGTGGGCAGCCGGTTGTGAAGCCACTAGTTGTCACAGCCGGGTGCCCACACTGAAGATGCCGATGCCAGGGAGAGAAGACAGCCGGTAAAACTAGCGGTGGTGAGGACACCGCTGGAACCAGGGACAGATAAGTGTTTCTATTTTAAAGGTCAGGAGCTACAGTTTTTGTAGCTCAAACAACAAGGTAAAAGCGAGCGCTATAAATCAGAAGAGGAGCCAATGCACCAAAGGATACTAAAAACCTTTCAAAACATAAACATATACAGGGTGCGGCGCTCAAGCAATAATCAATGTATCAAAAGTATAGATGAGAATTATATGAAATACATAAAGTGACTTGTGACAAGGTGCCAACATATAAAGTGACTTTAGTGATATCATGTATTCCGTCACTGCAAAAGTGACCTGCGGTGAACAATAATAATGGAATGAATAGTCTAAATGTGAAAATGAGAGATCGGGATATCTCAAGCAATAGGTGCTCCATTCAAACCAAATAGTGAGGTGACCGGTATATATGATAAGGCTGTGCACTCACCAGATGCACAGTTAATCTGCACATGTAGAGACAATACTCATGTAGGGCACGCTCCAGGCTCCCGTTATAAATCTAGTCTGGTCAGGTATTCCCCTCACTGCTCTCCTCAGCTGGCAAAGTGGCCTCACTTCCTCCTCAATAAGGCTCTGTGGGTTGTTGATGACTCACAAAGAGCCCTTGTGTATTGCCAGCACTCTAGTACAAAATATGCAGAAGTTTAAGTCTAAGTTTAAAGGAGAAGTTCACCTCCTGATGTGAGATCCACACTGTGTGGAAGTGCATCTCCTGAAGGCACAAAATATTGCATCTCAATATGGCAGCTTCTCTCCGCAGCATATGGCACTTTGTAGGGGTGTTAAGACTCTTTACATTAAAGGAAGATATTTTAAAGGACATGTTGGAGAATGACCTCTTCTAAGAGGGCTGAAGTCATAGCTGAAAATTATCAAATAAAAATAATCTGAAAAAGAGACAGTACCTTTGTTGATTTGCTGTCTTACGCTCTCCCCAAAGTGGTAGATGAAACAACAGGCTCAAAGTACCTGGAGTCCAAGTAGATGCAATGGTCTGTGATTTCTATAAATTAATTCTGGTGAAGAAAATAAAGTAAAGTTAGTTGAAAAGAACTTCAAATAACCTTTACTGGATAATATAAGAATTGAAAGATATGATATAAAAAGATGATTTTCAAGAACTCAATTTGCCAACAGGCACCTTAGTGAGCTTCCAGGGCTGCTGTAGTTCAAAATATCAGTAATGTGTAAGGAACCTGCCAATACTGCTGAGGAGTTTGAGGTGGAGAAACATGCTGGCAAAAGTTTGCCTTTGATTCTAGAATGTGCCATCCTTTTAGCATACGGAGATCTTCATCAATTGAATTTACTGCAAATGACTCTCCCTCATGGTCAATCAGCAATGTGGCTGGATATTTCCAGTTATAGGAGATTTTGTGGTTGCGGAGAGGTTTGGTGACTAGATTTTTCCTCCTCTTAGCGTGTACTGAGATAAGTCAAAGTAGAAAGTTAGGCAGTGCATACACTCAGGCAAATGATCCAGGCATCTCGCAAGGGCCAAAAGCTTACCTTTTATATGGAAGAAGTGTATGTGGACTATTGTAACCCTGGGCACATGATCAAGGATGTTTTTAGGTTTTGGAAATCAATCACTGATTCTTCAGTGGAGCGTCAGGGAGAGGTGCCATTAGGATCTTCATAAAGTAAGCCTTAAGTTTGTGATGCTGTGTACACTCTGGGATTCCACAAATTTAATGTTTCTCTACTGGAGTGGTCCTCCAAGTCTGCCAATTTAGATTTGATCCATCCATATCATCTTCCTGCTCATTATGGGCATCTACTAGCTCACTGAAGGTAGTCAGAAACTTCCAGATTTTATTTTCAATGTGTGACACTCTACCACTGACTTCCTATATACAGTTGTGTCCAAAATTATTCAACCCCCACTGAAATTGAGTGTTTTGGCCAGTTTGACATTGCTTTTGATCATTCAGTCATCTTGCTTACATTTACATTAAAGAGGCACTTGTAGGTCAGACAAATATAACATAACAGTTATAATGAAATAACCACAAATGTCTTTTCTGTGCTCACAGCATTATCAGTTTTATTCAACCCCCAAGTGACATTCAATCTTAGTACTTAGTACAGCATCCTTTTACAGTTATAACAGCTTTTAAACGTGAAGCATAGCTTGACACAAGTGTCTTGCAGCGATCTACGGGTATCTTCGCCCATTCTTCATGGGCAAAGGCCTCCAGTTCAGTCACATTCTTAGGCTTGCGCACTGCAACTGCTTTCTTTAAGTCCCACCAGAGGTTCTCAATCGGATTTAAGTCTGGTGACTGCGATGGCCACTCCAAAATGTTCCAGCCTTTCCTCTGCAACCATGCTCTAGTGGACTTGGAGGTATGCTTGGGATCATTGTCCTGTTGAAAGGTCCAACGTCTCCCAAGCCTCAGGTGTGTGACGGACTGCATCACGTTTCCATCCAATATCTCCTGGTACTGAAGAGAATTCATGGTACCTTGCACACGCTGAAGCTTCCCTGTACCTGCAGAAGCAAAACAGCCCCAAAGCATGATTGACCCTCCACCATGCTTCACAGTAGGCAAGGTGTTCTTTTCATCATAGGCCTTGTTCTTCCTCCTCCAAACATAGCGTTGATCCATGGGCCCAAACAGTTCTAATTTTGTTTCATCAGTCCACAGAACACTATCCCACAACTTTTGTGGTTTGTCCACATGGCTTTTGGCATACTGCAGTCGACTCTTCTTATTCTTTGGAGACAGCAAGGGGGTACGCCTGGGAGTTCTGGCACGGAGGCCTTCATTACGCAGTGTGCGTCTTATTGTCTGGGCTGAAACTTCTGTACCCACATCTGACAAATCTTTTCTCAGTTCCTCAGCAGTCACACGGGGACTTCTCTCCACTCTACGCTTCAGGTAGCGCACAGCAGTCGAAGTCAGCATCTTCTTTCTGCCACGACCAGGTAGCGTTTCAACAGTGCCCTTTGCCTTGAATTTGCGAATGATGCTTCCTAAGGTGTCTCTTGGTATGTTTAACATCTTTGCAATCTTCTTATAGCCATTGCCCTTCCTGTGAAGAGAAATCACCTCTTCTCTTGTCTTCCTGGACCATTCTCTTGCCTTCACCATGTTTGTAACCACACCAGTAAATGTCTAGAAGGAGCTGAGTATCACAGTCATTTTAAAGCTGCCTAATTGGTGCTTATTATGCTTGATTGCTGCTCGGTGACATCCACAGGTGTTTTCAATACCTGATGGAAAGCACCTGTATGAACCTCTGTTCTTCAGAGTGGTAGTCTTTAAGGGGTTGAATAATTGTGGCAATGAAGAAACCACATAAGAACCATTTACTACTGTATTACATAAACAATTGATGTCATTTTAGTTGCATTTGGGTAGTTACAACGTCCTTGTAGGATTTGATTCTGAATACATCCAAATGTACACTATAGTCCCTAAACCCCTTTACAGCATTGGGGGTTGAATAATTTTGGACACAACTGTATTGGTCCTAAATTGTTGTATCAGTGTGAATGGAGCTTGTGAGAGAAACTAGCATGTCCTTTAACCTCCCTAGCGGTCTGATTATGTCCATATTTCTGTGCTGAAAGCAGTACATTTTTTTGCATGCAAATATGTATTTTTTTTATTGTAGGCCTGTAATTTTTAGGAATAACTCACTGAAATCTGTCCTAACAAGAGTCTTGTAAACATTCCGGGTAGGATAAATCTTGAAACACAAAATCATAAATTATAATTTAATAAATAATCATAAAAATACTAATAATATAATAATAATAATAAATTTAATTCAATAATATAAGCAAACCAAAAAAACACTGAAATTTGAAATATAGCACCAAGTTCGCACATCGCTGAGCAAAGTCGCAAAATCGTTTTCAGTGTCTGATGACGAATTTCCCCACGAATCATTATCACTCAATTCTGCAAGTGGTTCTGATTTACTATCACTGTTCTCTAGCTGATCTGAAACCACTTTTGACCTAAAGGGACGCTTTTTGACGCCATGGACTTTTCTAAGTTTCCAGGCAGAAAGAACAGTGAAAATGCAGGCAAGGCACAGGACAAAGCAGTAGGGACAAACTGTATGTGAAATGGTTTGATACAGTAATGTTTTACTATGTCAAATTCATTTATTTGAAAAATGAAAGTTTCTAAAAATTTTTAAAATTGCCGCCGGTTCCGGCCCCCGTACGTCCCGTGCGTCCCGACGCTCGCAGGGACCGGAACACGGAAGCCGGATGCCGGCATCGGCCGGAGGAGATGGCCGGGGACGCTGCAGGGGATGCATCGCGGGAGCGAAGGACAAGGTAAGCGCTGCAGGTGTAGTGCCTTTTGAAATTATTTATCAAAACATAACTTTATTTCAACAAGCCAACCAGCCTAGCCATCTGTTAAGGGTTAACTTTTTTTGGTTGAAAATTCAAAGGACCCTCCAGTGAAGACATGCAAATAATGGGTGAAGGGAACTTTTCCCAGAGACAATAGACTGTTTGACTATCCACAGGTGGTCTAAGACCGACAATTCTGAGGTTTAAATTGGCGACTATGAGACTAACTAAAAGATACATATATCAACAAATACTGTTTGTATATTGAGGTTGGGGAAAATGCATATACAAAAGTTAATCAGACAGTCAAATAAGACGTTAGACCTTTAAACATTGAGTCACCACACCAACAAGTGAACAGTATATGAGACGAAAACCTAACTGGTTGAAGGTTCATCCAAAACCTTGGAGAGTGTGATGAACAAACAAACTTCTCGAACTATCACAATATACTATTATCCACTAAGGTTAAAAGTATAACTGGTTGTTTACCCTAACTCCTACACAATGGACAGGTAAACAGAGGGTCTTTCCTACTCATGGGAATTTTTGTTCTAAAACAAAAAGGTTAAACTTAGGACATATAAGGCAAGAACTGGATATATCTACCCACAGAGATATTATCAAAAAGCATATTATCAATGGGATGTTATAAAGAGTATGTTTCACACACAACAATATATTCAGCAGAATGGGGATTGTATATCACTAACTTGAGTATTGAGATGAGGAAAAGTAAGATATATTGTGAATTAGCATCAGTTGTATGTTGTATCAGAAAACAAATACTTTCACACAAGTTTGTATCTCAGGGAAATGAATAACTGAATATACATATATCTTTAATAGTCCTATCCAGAACATTATAGGTTTAATCAAATATATATTTGGATGAGATGTATATTTAATACCTGAAATCACCTTGAATTCCACCCGAGGTGTGAGTCATCATCAATACTCAAATTGTTCTATGGTACATGACTGCCATCTGGCGGACAGGTGAGAGATAGCTTAGGTACATCCACTTCTCGACCGGCCAATCAAAAGCCTGTTGGGAGGGTCTCTCTTAGAACAATAGTTTAGATGGTATAAAAAGCCATGCACCTCATTTAGAAAAAGGATTGATTGGAAAAAGAAAACTCACTGAAAAACAACAAACTGAGACAAGCTGAAGGAAATCTGACGAGGCTGAAATCCATCTGAAGATCTACTGCCTAATCTTTTCAAACTTTTAAAAAAAACTTTTCACTAAACTTCTCAACTCTCTGAATTTCTACTATCCTACATTCTCCTACACTACCTATCTATCACTTGCCCTGTGGCCATTATTCTGAAGGCGTTTCCATTGCCAGCTGAACCCACTGGAAGGTGCCATAGTCCAAGTTCTGGGTTGGTGAGACTGTCCATCAATTTTTGTATTGCATATTTCCTCTGTTGTTTAGAGTGATAAGAATTACCTTAGAGTGATAACAACTGTATTGGGTGGTCATATATATAGAGAGAGATCCCGTATTACTGTTAGATATTGTTGGTGTCATATTACAAATTTTCATATTTCATAAATTATTAAATATTAGTAATTAGAGTATAATTTATCAGGGAATATCTTCTCCCATTCCTATGGCCACGGGATGTAGAGAAAATAACCTCTGAGATACTCTAAATTATTAGTTATTACTAAATTTAATTTTTAATAATCATTATCATCTAGAAAAATTGTAATCTTGTTTTTCATTATTTTGAAATATATGTATGATATTGGTATAGTATATCTTTGATCGTGTGTACCAGTATTCATTCATCACCAGTCTTTTGCGTTTTGTGTTAATATATATATAATTTTTTGTACATAAATAAATTTATTATATTTATCTATTATAAGGCAAATTTTGTGTGTATGGTACGAAATCATACTGGCTAAAAGGATTCAAGGTATAATAATAAGTGGTGATCAAATTATCAAGGTGTCCAAATTATTGGTTCACTAAATATTTGCCGTATTTTAACGGCTGGAGGCACTGTAATATTTAATCTAAGGGAAAGGGACACCGCCCTTTATAAGTAGAATAAATCCTTACATAAACCACCACAGGATAAATTTGGAGGCACTGCTGAGATCCATAGAAATCGTACCATAATACAAAACGCACTGGTGATTGTATATTTGTACACTTGGTCAAACATATATTTTGTATCAAAATGGCATCCCCAGTAATCACGGATCCACCTCTTCCAAGTATAGCGAGGAAAATTTGACGGCCCAAGATATTGAGGGGGGAACTCCTAGGCCAGCCCGAAAAGCCTACGATACTTGGCAGAAGTATGTTGAAGGTGCAGTAATAAATTATCTCCACCAGAGATTAGGTTTTAGGGGATAACAATGATGAATTGGTGGATGCAGAGAAAAAGCAGGCTATGAGCACATTTGAGAGGACCTGTTCAACCAAAAGGGTCGGGTGGTCGAGTGTTTATTTGCCTTGCTAAAAGAGAAAGTAATAAAAGCCGTGACAGACTTCTCCTAAAAGCCTGGCCTATGTTTATGGTTTATGAGCAATGGAGCTGCCCAGCAAACCATAACTTTAAGGGAAGAATTGTCAGAAGCCCGCCTCCTTTTGGAAAGCAGAAATCAGGACATTAAGTCTTTGAAAGGAAGCTTGGTCATGCTGGTATTCGTCTAGACGAATCCAAAGAGTATCAAGATAGATTGGTCAGAGACATTCAATGTGCTCGAGACATATATGAGGAAAGTTGTCAAGAATTAAAACAAGTTAAGAAGAGATATCTGGATTTAAAAAGTGAAGTGGAGTACTTCAGATCAGAAAAGTTATCTCCTGTTGAAATTAAAGTTTCACCCAGGGGATAAGCATGACCAGTCAGAACTTGCGTTGGTAAGATCTGAGCAGAAAACTCTGGAGGAGCAGATTGTGAGGTTAATTGCCCAAATAAAATGCGGAGGTCCAAAACCCGGACCAACCCAGTCAAGCAGGAGGCTGATGAGCGGGGATACCCGTATCACAGTGAAGTACCTGATAGTGAGGCAGAGACAGAATAATAAAATTCTGAAGGACCCATCTGCACACTGGTATATACCCTTTTCAAGCAAACTATGCAACAAATAGGGATATTTGGTTCACACATATTGCAATACATGTTTAAGCTGGCCAACTGCGTCAAAGTAATCCCTCTATGGCCAGTCCTACTCTGCCCTGCCTACACAAGTGCAACTGTGGACCACAATGCTAGCATAGGGGAAAAGACACAATGGGGATAGCTACAAGGTTCAGTGTCTGGCTACTGAACCCACACAATGACTAACAAACAAGAGATCCCAGTGGCTCAAATCCATACAGCTAGTGCCATTGCATTTTATCCATCAGGTGCTAAAGGGGTGTAACCACATTAACTCTTTGCAATTTACTTTGTTTAAGCGGGCCCAAAAATTGGTCAAAGTAATCCCTCTAGGGGCCAGCCCTTTCTCTCCCTTTGCCTACAAAATTTGGTTTTTCTGTAAAACACAATGTGCATGGGGGAAAAAAGCCCAAAAATTGGGGGAGAGCAACAAGGTTCGGGTTGGGTACTGCCCCCAAACAATAAAATCAAAACAAGAAAATCCCTTTTGCTAAACCCATACAGCTAGTGCAGGGCATTTTATCCTTTAAAGGTGCAAAGGGGTGAAACCCAAACCATTAACTCTAGAAATTCGGAAAAGGCCCCTCTGCCATTTGGAATCCCCTTTAAAAGCAAACTATCCCAAAAAATGGGGATTTTTGGTTCACACATATTCCCAATCCCATGTTTAAGCGGCCCAACCTCCCGTCAAAGAAACCCCTCCTAGGCCCACCTTTACTTTGCCCTCCCTTACACAAGTGTACTGGGGGGACACAATGCTAGCATAGGGGAAAAGACA